AGCCTCCAGGGGCACTGACTGGACACGAGCCCCGCAGACACGGCACCACTTCCTGGCCGCAGCCTCCACGGGCACTGACTGGACACGAGCCCCGCGAGCCTGTCCCTCTGCCCTCATTTGTCAGGAGGTTGCTGATGGGTCCCACACAGGGTTTTGTTTTCTGTCCCGCACGGAGGCCGCACCCTGGTCTCCATCTCAGCCAGCTCCTCATGCCCTCTGCTTCCCACAAGTGAGCAGGCTGGTGGCATATGCGCCCCTCAGTGCTGGTGCTCAGGGTCCCCGCTTACCCAGAGACCAGGAGCATGGTGACAGGGCTCGAGGTCGCCAGGCGCACACCTCTCCGCATTTGAAGCCATCTGGCAGCCCCTTGTTTGGTCGGGACAAGTACCTGGTGGTATGTGCAGTTCTGCGGGAAGACCCCCAGGTGTTCTGGAACTCCATTCTCCTGGCCCCTGTCATTACGGTCCACACAGTCAGACGCCCTGGCGTGGTCGCTGGAACACAGGAAGTGGCTTCCTGGTCCTCTGCTTTCAGCAGGATCCTTCCACACTGCTGCCAGCATCTGGCTTGAGTTTCTGGCACTTTCCTGTTGATGTTCTGCTGGAATGTTCCAACCGAAATGGATCCTAGTGTCTCCAAACACGCATTTCTTAGCTAAATTTGGGAGTCTTGGAAGGGAGTGACGGCAGTAAGTCTTGCAGACAGACCCCTGTGGGCGCCAGACGGCCTCCCTGCGCAGCACAGGGACCCCGACCTGCTGGCCGGTGGTGTTAGGTTGGAGCAGGGACCCCGTAGGCACATGGGGTGTTGAAGGAGGGGCCACCCCATCCTGGTGGCAGTTCCTCGTCCCTGCCACCAACAAGACTGTGCCCGGAAGCAGGCCGGGGCAGTTGCCCGCCCATCCGCCCGCCTGTCCTGACTGAGCAGCCGTCCGTCCGTCCTCAGCGCAGGTCAGAGGGAGCTGCGAGCCACCACCTCTGGTGTCACCTATCCCCATGCAGTGCCATTTCGATGTCACTCATGGTCCTGGTGACAACCCTGGGCAGGCCGTCTAGGCTCCTCCCCAAAGTGTGCTTGTGGGGTCGGACTCAGTCCTGACTCACAGTCACCCTCGTGAGAGTGGAGCCCTGGTGGCCCTGTGGGTCAGGCGAGCAGTGTGACTCTCCAGCTGCTCCTGACAGGAGAGGGGCAGTCCTCTGTCCTACAGGATCGCTGCTGGGGGTGGGGGAAGGATGGGGTGTGGGGGAGGAGTTCTCCTCACAGCAGCCAGGGGCCCGTGACTGGAAGAGCGTTCTGATGTGGTCAGTGGGTGTGGGGGTCGCGGGCTAAGGAGTTGGCCGTGCGGCTCTTCCTGGCTCACTGTGCCAGGAGTCCGACGTGGCCCTTGCCGGGCAGTTCACAGTGAATGGCAGCCGGGCTCCGGATGGCTCTTCTGCTCTGCTCCCCGCACTGGGCTGGGAGGCTCGCACACTCAGACCTAAGCTGCTGCCGCTGCTGTGCGAGCAGGACCCAGAATGTTGTCTGTGTGAGCTGTGCTGTCCCCGCAGTGGACCCTGGTGTCCCTCAGACTGCAGCCCTCATTCCCTTGGGGGATCGTCACAGCTGAGGAGCACGCTCTGCCTCAGCACAGGCAAGGTGCACGCTCAGACGCTGTGCGTGCGTGCGTGCACGGTCTACTGCGCTTCCTCCCAGCCAGAGTGTGTGTCTCAATCCCACCGCTCAGTTGCAGGCTTCTTGGTTCACAGGCCTCTCGCTCCGTGTCTTCCTGCCTCCGGCACCTTTTGCCCCCCTCACCCATCACCGTTGTCCACCTTCTACCTGCGACTCACTCCTACCTCCAGTAGCCGTCAACGAATGATTGTTCAGGGCAATTGTCTTTACCCAGCATCTGCCCTCCATTTCCTCCCGGTCACCAGGGGCAAGGTGCCCACCGTGGGCCCGTGCCATACCCTGTAGGTTCTGTCCTGAGTGGCCCTGACCTCCGTCTGTCTCTCTTCATCTGCTGGGCTTCAGGCAGTGTCCATCTTGTGCTGTGATGGACGTGGGGATGTCTCTTCCCTTCTTTGTCTGGGGTGCACCCTGAGTAGAGGGGCTGCTGGGTCCCCGCGTGGTTTTTGGGGAGAGGACAGGTTAAGACCTGTCACCAGTGAGGACTGAGTGCAGGGGAGCCCTGAGGCTGCACAGGCGCCAGGCGGCCTCGAGTTGGTGCCCCGCGCTCCATGTCCAGCCGCACTCTTCTCTGTGCGTGGTCTTGCTCGGGCCGCGTCCCGGCTTCATTTCTGACCCCGGTGATGTGCCAGCCGGCCACCTGCACGCAAGTCCATCCGTGCCACCGGGCGCTCTTTCCCGTTATAATTCTGTGTTTTTACCTTGCAGTGAGTGTTGAAAAGATAGACCTGAAGGGATTATCACACACAAACAGTGAGAGACACGGTGAATGTTCCTTTGAGGTAAGATGCTTAGCTTTGTGCTTTGTTCCGTTCTCCCCTCCGGCCTCTCCTCCAGGGGAGCTGGAAGTGCATTGTGTTCTCACAGGCAGGCCTGTGTGCCGGGGAGCAGGGCGGGGGCTGGGCCCACTGCACCTACAAAGGGAAGGGGTGGGGGGGCCCCAACAGCCTGGTGGCTGGGCCAGAGGCTGGGCTATGTGACCATCTCTAGGCAGAGGGGCTGTGAGCACCCATGGCAGAGGGCTGCCTTGCCCGGTGGGGGTCTGCGGGCAGGTGAAGTGGGACTTTGAGGCCGACCCACAGCACAGGCTCTCCGCATGCAGAAGCTGGCCCGGAGCTCAGCAGAGTCTGCAGGAGACATGAGGCTGCCATGGCAGCTGTTGGGCTCCGGCCACCACTGTGCCACATCGACAGGACGTGGCCCTCAATCTCATGACCCAAGGCGGCAGCTTGGGGCCTGTCTCACTGAGCTCGCTTCTCCTGGACTGGAAGCACCTTGCTCCCGTGCTGCTGGGCCGTGGTCTTGGGATCTCGTGTACATGAGGGGGCTTCAGAAAGCTCTCAGGGAATCCCACCCCCTGCACCATGCAGCTTGCTCATTCTTCATAGAACACAGCTAGCTGCCTCGGAAGACGTGGACCCCTCACAGAGGGTGAGCGACCAGCAGGCGGCGGCTGGAGAGAGCTTGCGGTGCTATCCACGTGTACAGTGCTGATGAGACGCGTCGGAGGGGGGGCTTTGCCAAGGAGCCGCCCGGGAAGCCTCGGGGTCTCCTGGACCCCGTGCCAGCAGCCTCCTCTCCATGGGTGGTGGGCCAGTGTCTGACGGAGGCCCCACCCTCAGGATAAAGACTCAGCAGTACGCACGGCCAGCCCGCCAGAGCAGGCGCCACTACCACTGGCGTCCCAGTGGGTGGAGATGGGGCAGGACGGCACCTGCAGACCCTCCCCGAGTCCCCCAGAGCCCGGAACGCACTTATGGGTCCCATGGCACCCGGCCGGCCACATCTGTTGGGAATGAGCAGCTGAGGAATCTGCTCTGTTCCTGGCATTCCCGCTCTGGTTTCTAAACGCCCGTCCGCTGCAGTGGCCTTGGAGAACTCGGGAGACCACACCTGTCCACTGCAGGGCCACGGAGGATTCGGATGAGACTATGCCATTCCTCGGGTGGCCACGGAAGACTCGGGCGTGACCACGCCTGGAAGGTTCCCAAGGAAGCACGTGGGCTGTGGTGGCCTGAGACGCTGGGGCTGAGTTGCCCGCCGGACGTGCTGCACAGTGCCGTCAGTCTGCTGACAGTCCCTGGGGGACGGACCTTTGTCCACCGACAGGCCTTCACCTCAAGCTCCCTGAAGCACTACTCCCAGAGGCCCCGAGCCACTCCACTCCACTTGCTGAATTAAGTGCTCAGGCGCCTCTCGCCACAGCCTGCCTCCTGCCCCGAGCACTTGTCTCAGCTCGCTCTAGGACTTGGGAAGTCGTCACCGTGCTCCGTGCTCCGGCTCCTGGTTCTACTGCTCCTCCGACGCATCTGGAGGCCAAGGATGTGGGTCACCCCTGGCTCTAACTGGCAATGCGCTCTCTCCTCCTGCTTCCCAGCAGGCTCCTTTTCTACGTGGCAGGGTGGCAATCCTGTTTGCAATGACAGGCGAATCCTGTCAGCGTCTTCTCCCACCTTCTGACCAGGCCAGTACAGGGAGAGGGCATTTGGTGGAGCTTGGAGACTAATTCACCGCCCCGCAGACTCTCAACCACGAGGGGATGTTGATGTGCTCAAAGCCGAAGACCCAAGTGGGACCCCAGAAACCTGCATGAAGGGGGGCCCCCACACCTTGCTCAGTTGAGTAACTTGTGAGTGTCTTGGTGGGACAGATGCCAGTGCCCCACATCCACCTCTAGGTTTACGGGAAACGTGGGCACAACTGCCCTGGGTGCTTGCTTGCTTTTAAAGAAAGTGATCCTAAAGTTTGTCATGAGAACCAGAGTAGCAAAAGCAATTTTGATAAGGAACAAAAAAAGGTTAGAAAACTTACACTACCGTCTTCAGAACCAGACTCGCAGTGGACCGGGCGCTGACCCGTGCATGGGACAGAACAGACGACCCAGCCAGACCCTTCTCTGAAAGCGCAGGGACAGGAAACAGCCCATGAAGCACAGACAGACAAACGCACGAGGCAGGCCAGGGAAGCGCGTGGTGGCAGACACCTCACGAGGAGGCATCCGTCAGCGTGGTGGCTGTCCTCCACGCACACCAGCTCCACACCACTCTACGGACAGGCCTGTTTCCTGCAGCTTTTTCACATCCGCTGCTGAGCCACGGGAGGAGCTCCTTTCCCTGCTGCTCACGTTTGCCGCTTTGACAAAGGAAGATCGCTGTGGCTCTCGGACTGCTCTACCATGCAGAGACCGCTGTTGCGTGGTGCTTCCTTCAGAGCCAGTGCAGTGTGGCTGCCGGGCCTGCCTTGTCTGAAAACCCTCCCAGTTCTGCCGTGTCCCTGGCCCTCCTCCCCGGCAGGGGGTGCGCTTTGATCGGTCTGTTTGCTGAACAGACACCCCTGTGCGCGCGCGTGGGTGGTTCAGAGCAGGGTTTGATGCTGGGACAGACGGACCGCTGACGTGGCCCAGCCATAGGCTCGGTTCCCGTGACCCCTCCCTCCCTGCCCATACCTGCTGCCCTCTCAAGTCTGCACTGTGCCCTTTCTTTATTTTCCTGGTGACAAACACGGTCCTGCCCCCGGCAGGCAGCCTGTGTGGGTAGCCCTCCGAGTCTAGCCTGCCCCACGCTGGACCCACACTGGGCACAGGGGGCTCGCGCCTGGGCGTCCACCCACACTGATCTGATGACTGTTAGCTGCTTCTCGGGTGGTGATGGGGTGCTGTACATGCGAGAGATGTGTGTGATGGGCACATGTGCCTGCCCGGCATGGCACACTGAATAGATTGCTACCCACCCCCACCCCCCAACTGAGGACATGGTAGAAAACCCCCGGCTCCGGCCTTCGGTCAAGGGGGGTAGTTCTCGGAGTCTCCTGCCGAGGCTGCTGTTGCCCTCATTCTACCTTCGCCTGCTCACGCTCTGGGGGCCGCCACGGGTACGGGGAGAGGACTTCCAGGAAGGAGCGGGTCAGCGCAGTGGAGTCTGCACCTGCACAGCTCCCCGGGCACCTCCCTTCCTGAGTTGTTAGCTCCTGGGAGGTGTGCCAGGGGCCAGGTCTTTCTCTGCCAGAGGGCTGAGCCCAGGCTGCAGGAGGCCCCCATTCAGAACGGGCCCAGACTGTCGCCGGGGCTGTCTCCTGAGAACATACTAAGTCGAGGTTTAACCGGTGGTGCGTGGTTTGGCTGTAGCCATGGCCCCAGAGGTGGTGTATGGCCACTGGTGGGTGTCGGACAGTAGAACTGGTCCCAGTAATGGAGCACTGACTTCCTGCCTCTGACGGGGCTTGTTCACGGGAGTGCCGACCTTGCGCCAGCAGACACAAGCTGCCTGGGGGACTCAGGGGCGGCCCCTCGGGAGAGCAGACCCTGCAGTGTCCAGCGGCTAAGGGTCAGCCCACCCTGGGCCCTTGAATGGGAGCAGGGTCTGACCACTCTGCAGGCTCTCGGGGTCCACCTAGCCGATGAGGGGCTGTGTCTGCCAGGCCAAAATAGCGCCTTGCGTTAGCTGTAGTAAGCGACACACACACACCTCCTCCCGAGCCACCTACAGGGGAGCTGCAGCACTGAGAGAGAGCCCGGGCCCAAGGAGTGGTCCGCCCGCCTTCCAGGGCTCTGACCTGGAGAGAGGTGACGCAGCGTGCACGGCGTGAGGGAGAGGTTTCCTCCACTGTGGGAGAGGACCCTGCCCACGGGGTCTTGGTGGGAGGCGAGGCGCCCTGTTACCCACGGGTGTCACTGATGCTTTGCCTGGTAGCAGCGCTGCCCCAGCTGCTGTGTCTCGGGGCTCGGGTGCTGAGGTAGGGGTGTTCAGGGGTGGGGTGGGGGCAGTTGAGTAGAGGACAGCAGTGCCATTGCCCCAGCCACCGTGTGTCTGACGGGACCCGGGTGGAGCAGGAACCACGCAGCGGGGCGGGGCGGGGCTGAGGGACAGGCGGAGGCTTCCAGAGCACCTGGTGGTGTTCTTACGAGGTGCACGGGGACCCGAAGCTGACGGTGCCTGCAGCACTGACTGCTCCTGTCTTTGTGGTCACCCGTACTACTCGGCTTCCCCTCGGACCTGGGCAGAGCTCACGGTCCGGGTTACCCTCCTGATCTGCCCCTCGCCTCATTATGCCATTCCTGACACGGCTCACTCCCATCCGTGCGATGTCTGGCCCGAGTGAGGCCACCAGGCCCACTTTGTAGAAGTTCTTCTGGAGAGCTCTTCTGTCCTGGAAACCAGAGCCCTGTGGCTTGGCCAGTGGGTTCTTGAGGATCAGGTCTTGTCCCATTTGTCATCGCATCCAGAGCACCTGACCCTCGTGGGCAGCAGTGTGCGGGCGAGCAGGCTCCCTGAGGGCGTGTCTGCAGAGCTGAGGGAGCAAGGCTCGGACTCCGAGCTGGGTGACGGGTGGTCTTTGAGGACGGCACAGGGCAGGAAGTTGAGCGCCGAGGGGCATGGTGGGTCAGGGGCTGCCTTCCCGGGACGGAGGCGCACCGTGGGCCCCCAGAGCCGTGTGCGTGCCGGGGCTGGCATGCGGCACCAGCTGTAGGCTTGTCTCCTTGTTCTCAGGTCCTGTGGTCCGACTCTTCAGTCACGTCAGTGGCCAGGTCTTCCTCTGAAGTGGCTGACTTTATCTCAAAGGTAAGGCGCCCGCGGCCGCACGGCTCTGCCCACAGCGGGTCTCTTCCTCCAGCCCCAGAGGGAGTGCCAGGGTCCCTGAGCCGGGAGCCGCTGGTCTGCTCTCCGTCCCTTTGCTGTTGGTGGCAGCAGCCAGGAAGATGGTGGCACGCAGATGGCTTGTTGCGGCCCCTTGGCTTGGCTTCGGGTGAACCCGAGGGCGCCCGAGGCTGGCCGGGTCGGCCTGCATACCTCGCATCCCGCCTGTCTGTCCTGCTTCTTCCTCCCCTCTCCTCCGTTAGAAGGGAGGGTTCTGTGGACACGGCTGTGTGGCTGCATGGAGCGTCTGAGACGTGATACACACGGGCGCTGTCCTGTGGGGCACAGTGGGTGGGCTTGTCTGGGGGCTGGACCAGGCTCGCCCACTGGGGACGAGAGATGCTCAGTGTGAGCCATGGACGGTTAGCAGTGCCCACCGGATGCGCACCCATGTCCTTGAAACGTTCCGAACCCTGCATGCTCCCGCCCCCTTCTCTCTCTCAGCCATCTCTCTGGACACCTCTCCCGGCCGGAGCACTGTCCTCTGCACTGGCTGATGTGCTCTGCCCTTGTCGCGTGTCTGGTTTACTTGTCATCCAGAGATTTGGGGGGCTGGGGAGATTCTCGTCCACAATGTGACCCCAGATTTCTCCTGCACCCCATTCTCGTGGGTCCTGGTGACACCCGTCTTGAGCAGCTCGGGCCTCGGCCCGTCCCCTCGTGTTTGCTGTGTGGTGTTGGTGGCCTTGCCTTCTGTCAGGTGACTGACAGCAAGTGCTCCCCCGCTGCCGGCCTGTGGGACGCAGGCCTTCTCATTGCTGATGCCAGGTCCCGCTCGCTCCTAGCTGCCCGCCCCGCGTGTCCACGCCTGTGTCCAGCTTCATCATGTGGCTCAAAACCCAGTGGTCGCCTGGCTGTCCCCGTCTGTGTGCCTGCTCAGAAGAGCCCAGAGGCCATGGCAGCAGTGGCCGTGCCTGGAAGCAGCCACACGCATCCTGCTCATGGTGCTGGGTGGGGAGGCAGACCCCATGTGTCACGCTTTTCTGGCTGAGACCGCCCTGGCTCACACCACATTTGAATGGGCCTCCTCCTGGTCTGCCTTCCCCTCAGCCACAGCAGGCCTCGTCCGCCCCCAGGGCCACTGCCCTGCTCTGTCACCTGGCGGGGTGACAGGGAGGGAAGGGTCCCCGGCCTCCATCCTGGATGGAGTCCTCTCCATCCATCTGTTCCCCCCTTTAGTCTCTCTCTCTCTCTCTCTCTTTCACACACACACACACTCACACCACAGAATACTCAGTACACACCACACGCATTACTACACACACACACACACACACACACACACACACACACACACACACACACCTACCTCTTTGCCCACAGCCCTGAGCTTCTACCTGAAGCCTGGAGCAGGTGGGTCCCCTGTTCCATCTCTAGGAGCAGAAGGGCCCCGCACCCTCCCCGGGCTCAGTTCTTGCCCCAGCTCCAGTGACTGGAGAGGTGCATCGTGCACAGCCCAAGGGGCAGTGAGGACACAGCTTGGGGAGCAGGGAGCAGGCACACTCCCTCTTGGCTGGGGGCCGCCCCATCTCAGCAGGCTCATCTTGCTCGGAGGCCCACCCCGGCTCGGTCTCAGCCCCTGCTCTGCCGGGCTCAGGGTTCATTCTGCCGGTGTTTGCTGTGGGGCTGAGCCAGATGTCTCAGACAAGCGTGCTCCTCACAGCTGGTGGGAAGCCGGGCAGGGTGCTGGTTCCTGTTGTGCCCTCTGCTCCCACACCCCTGCGTCTTCATCTCTCAGCTCTCACAGCTGCACCCCGAGGAAAACCTGGAGAAATTCATTCCCTGCTTCCCTGGCCCGGACGGGTTTTATGTTGAGCGAAGCCACTTGGACCTGGAAGCAGACCTGAGGTAACCACGGCGGGACCTCCTCTGCCCTCCTTGCCAGCTCCCGGGTGGGAGGCAGACTGGCTGCCATGCTTGGATCTGTCCTTGGCCCCTGGCTGTGGGGCACGTGAAGGCTCTGGGAAGCTTCTGGGTACTTGATGGACCCAAGCTCAGGAGAGAGCTGCCTGCCACCCTGGGCTGGGACCGCACCCCGAGCACTCCTACAGCATCTCCCTGGGTGCAGGTGGTGGGCAGGCCCACAGCAGGGCTTCCTGAAGACGCCCTTGGGTCCCTTCCGTGTGCTGTGCAGTGTGAGGGGGTGAGAGTGGAGGGCGGGGCGGCACCCGGGGCAGTGGGAGAAGGACTCTTGGTGCTTCTGAGGACCCAGGCAGCCTCACCTCCCTTCCTTGGAGCACCGGTGGATGTGAACAGCTGGCCCTGAGGTCGTGCCACTGGGGCCCCTGGGGGAGCAGCAGGGACGCACCATGAACCCAAGCAGCAAGGTCTGCTGGTGCCTCTGGCCCCCCATCTCCTCCGGCTGAGATAATGCCACGAGACAGTAACGGGCCCTTCAATCCCCAGGTACCTGGCTGCGTTACCGTCTCACGTATTGAAAAATGACCATGTCAAGAAGTTTTTCAGCACCTCCTCTCCAGCCCAGCCGCTCCCCAGTCCCGGTGAGTGTGCGAAGGGGACCTGGTGTACACCAAGCCGGGCCGCCTCGACTCACCTCGGTGTTTCTCCGTCCAGGTCCTGCCACCCCCTCCCTCGCTAAAGTGGGCTCCCTGGTGGCCGTGGCCGGAAGGTGAGGACCCACCCCACTCCATCCCCCACGGCTGGCCGCGGGCAGTGTGCAGACTGTCCTCCCAGTGTGTTCACTCCCTGCACAGCTGGTCCTGAGTGAAGCCCCTGCTCTGTCCACTCTGGGCTCACAGAGTGGCGACCCATCCCCAGTCCCTCAGGCGGCTTCCAGGGTGTCCCGGGCTCCCGTTCCTTGTGCCCACGAGGGAGGGTCTGGCCATGAGGGCGCTGCTTCCTCAGGGTTCCCGGATGACCGGTCCACAGGCCTCACTGTGTGGGAGGGATGTGGACGTTAACCGCCCGGCCGCTGTGCTTGTGTGCACGTGGCCCATGCCATCCACGCCCGCGCGCCTGTGCCTGCAGGTGACAGGCCTGGGACCACTGTCCCTGTCCCTGCAGGCCTGTGTGTGGCGTGGCCGGCATCCCGTCGCCCCAGGGCAGCACCCAGCACCACGTGCAGCACTCGGCCAGCGTGGCCACCACCCTGCCCCACTGTGCCCACCCCACGGGTGCTGGCTCCGCGCTGACCTTCCGTGCCCAGATGGACGCTGCGCCTGCGGTCCTGATGTCTTCCGGCCTGCAGAGCCCCCAGACCCCGGAGCAGAGTGGGATCCTGGACTGGCTCCGGAAGCTGCGCCTGCACAAGTACTATCCCGTCTTCAAACAGCTCACCATGGAGAAGGTGAGGGGCAGCAGGCATCCAGGGGTAGGGAGGTGTGGTGTGTGTGCCCTCCTGGTGCCCCGATGGCGTCTGTCACAGGCTCCTGAGTGGGTTCCTGGTCTGGAGGGGCAGGTGAGCTTCAGGCCTTCCCGGCAGCCCCTCCCTATGGGAGGGTTTCTCCCTTAGGGAGCATCCTTTGGGTCAGGATTGCCCACGCCCAGCCCTCAGTGTGGGCGCCCCCTGCTAGCTGAAACCCTGCGGAGGCCTCTTCTGTGGACGGTCAGCCTCATGGATCCGGAAATCCACTGCGGAACTCAGGAAAGGAGCAAATGGGCGTGTTTTTGTGCACCCTCTGCTTGGTGCCCCCGAGTCAGGACCACCTGGCGTTGTCTGGCCGTCTGACATTGGGTCAGTTTAGTGCCCCTAAAGGGCCGGGTGGGCTGGAAGGCTCAGCCAAGGAAGTTGGCAACTTGGGGGTTTATATCTCCACCCAGGGACGGCGTGTTTCCCACCAGGCGACCCTTCTGCCCACCGCAGCTTAGTGTGCTTGGGTTAACGGGTGATGCACGCTCGAGGGAGGGAGGACTGGGCTGGCCTCTGGGCCCTGGCCCGGCATGGTCAGTGATGCGTGGTGTCTGTCCCTCCCCAGTTCCTGAGCCTCACAGAGGAGGACCTCAACAAGTTCGAGTCCCTCACCATGGGCGCCAAGAAGAAACTCAAGACGCAGCTGGAGCTGGAAAAGTGAGTGGGCTGCCACTGGGGGTGGGTGCACGCCCCAGCCTGGCCGACAGCCTTGGTGGCAAGCCTTACCACCTGCCTTGGGTGTGGGGGGTCCTTTTTTGTGCTTTCTCATCCCGGGCTTCCTTGTCTTAGGGAGAAGTCGGAGAAGCGGTGTCTGAACCCCTCAGTGCCCCCCTCGGTCACAAGCAGTGGTATAGCACGTGTGCCCCCTACCAGCCACGTCGGGCCCCTGCAGTCTGTGCGTGGCAACCACACTGCAGGTGGGTAAGGGCAGGGTGGGGCAGGCGCCGGTGTGCTCTGCCACAGCTGTTTGTAAACTTTGCCCTTGCTCCTCCATCCCCCCACCCTGGTGCTGCCTGCTTCGACCTCAGCGGCCTCCCCAGGCCACGCAGGCAGTGGAGGCTTGATGACGGGAGCTGTTGGAGCAAAGCAATAGGGCCCAGACACTCCTCCGTGGACGGGCGGGGGCGACACGTGGAAACGCCGCCTTCCCAAGTCTGCTGGGGAACGCTCGGCTGCCCTCACTGCCACTTTCCTGCCCATCTTTTCCCAGCAGGGAAGTGGCCGCCACCGGCCTTGTCCCCGCCAACTCCTGCCGTTGTTGGGACTAGCTGCTTGTCCTCGGAAGGGGTTGGTGGGGGCGAGGGTCTGGTTGCCTCACAGGGTGGTGGCACCCACATGGGGCCACAGCACTAGCCGTGTGCATCAGACGTCTCCAGTGGGTGGTCCGTGCTGCGGCCACCTGACGCCCCCCCTCCATGCAGAGCTGCGGGTGGAGGTGGAGCCAGCCGCCCACCAGGGCGCCCGGGAAGGCAGCTCCTCAGAGTCCTCCAGCTCCTCGTCCAGCCCGATGGGCGTGCAGGCCCGCGAGGAGAGCTCGGACAGCGGCGCCGAGGAGAGCGACCGGCGTAAGGGCGCCATGTGGGCGGGCCGGGGGATGGGCACGCCGGGTATAGCCCAGCACGCACCGACTGACGCCGTGCCCCCATAGGTGCCGAAGCCCACCCGGAGGGCACCCTGGAGAAGGAGAAGCCGGTGCTGCTGCTGAACCACTTCCCCTCGGGTGCGGCCCGCCCCACTGCCCAGGTGCTGCCAGTGCAGAATGAGGTGGCGGGCTCCAGCGCTTCCGGCCTCCACGGTCTGCCGCCACCCATGCTGCCCGCAGCCTCCCACCTGGCGCCCATGCGGCTGCTCAGTTCCGTGCACAAGGCCGAGCGCAGCGCCACGGCCGACGGGAAGCTGCTCTCCACCTCTGCCCACTCGCTCCTGTCCCCGGAGGAAAGGGGCAAGGTGTCCGGACCACGTGGGGGTATCAAGGTGGACAAGGGTTTCGGGAGTACCCTGATGGACGTGCTGCCTGCACCTGCCCCCCACCAGCCTGTGCACGTCATCGCTGCCGTCCCCGAGGGCAGCTCCCTTTCCCCCACCGTCGCCTTTGGTCCCCGGGCCAAAGTCGTGCACGCCTCTGCGCTGGAGCGGGTGATGAAGGCAGCCCCGCAGCCTGCCCTGGTGGACACCAGCTCAGCGGCCACAGGGGCCTCGGGCTCCATCTTCCAGGTGGCCCGGCCGCCCATCAAACTCCTGGTGTCCTCGTCGGTCCCCGCAGACTCGGCCCTCCCCGGGCAGACTTCTTGTGTGCCCCCTGCGGTCATCAAGCCCCGGACAGCTCTGTACACAGCCAGCACCAAAGTCGCCTTCCCCGCTGTGAGCAGTGGGCCCCCGGGCCCAGCGCCTGGCAGCTTTTGTGCCAGCGGCAGCACGGCCTCTTCCAGCAGCCACCCATCCACGTCGTTTGCGAGCATGGCTGGCCTGACCAGCTGCCCGGCCCCCAGCCCCAGCCCCACGCTCTCCTCAGGCCCGGAGAACAGCTTCTACAGCGGCTCCGCGGGCAGCATGTCTGCGACCGGGCAGAGCCACCACCACCACCACCACCACCAGCAACAGGCGCCAACCGCCCCCCCGCCCCCCGGCTGCATGGTCTGCACATCCTGCGGCTGCAGCGGGAGCTGCGGCTCGAGTGGCCTGGCGGTCAGCTACGCCAACTACTTCCAGCACGCATTCCCTGGCCCCTCCGTGTTCAGCTTCCCCTTCCTGCCCTTCAGCCCCGTGTGCAGCAGCGGCTATGTGGGGGCTCAGCAGTACGGCGGGGGAGCCGCCTTCCCTGTTCTCCACTCACCCTATGGTGGCAGCCTGGCCACGGAGCCAACCTCGTTCCCCGGCCCCCCGGTGCAGAGCTTCATGGCGGCCTCTGCCGGCGGCTACCAGGCCCAGAGTCTGCTGGGCAACAGCAGTGGCCCGGGCCACAAGAAGAGTGGGAGCCTGTCGTGTTACAACTGTGGGGCCACCGGCCACCGGGCCCAAGACTGCAAGCAGCCGCCCATGGACTTCAACCGGCCAGGTAACACCTCGGGGTCCCTGGGCCCACACCCCACGGCAGTTGCTGCCGTGGCTCCTGCCGAAGTTCTTGAGAAGCACTTTGTAAAGGGAAACACATTGAAATCTTGGAGCTGGCACTGAGGGCCTGGCCTGTGGGAGGAGCCGGGCCCTGGGCAGCCCCTTCTGCCCTGCCCCCGTTGCATGGCCACTTTGCTCTGGGTCCACGGCCTGCCTCCGGCTGACCAGGAGCTCTTCCTGGGCCTGGAGAGCCGTGAGGCCTGTAGCCTGGCAGTGGCTCTTGGCAACCACACAGCAGAGCAAGCCCCTCCCCAGGCGCCCCTCCCAGAGGTGTCCCATGGGGACAGCCAGGCCTCAGAGCCACAGGGAGCCAGAGCCCCAGTGAAGGGAAGGGGGAGGGTGGGAGGGGCGTCCCCAGAGCCACACAAGGGTCTTAACTTTTCTTGATCAGTTTTTCCTGCTTGCCCGGCAGTGTGATAAAAGTCCAGCTTGTGGGGAAGGGGTGGGCAGAGACAGGGGCCTAGCTTTCCAGCATCAAACGTGGAGACATTGGTGTGTGTGTAGGGGGGTGTCCTGCAGTGATTGAAATGTGCACTTCTTCCCTCCCCTCAGGTACTTTTAGGTTGAAATACGCCCCCCCAGCAGAGAGTCTGGATCCCACAGACTGACGTTCCCTCTGGCAACAGAACGTGACTGAGCCATGGAGCCGTGAGGAAATTAAACACGGAACTGCACAGTCTAGTTGCTGTTGAGCTTAATGTTTTTCATCCAAAGGTGCTTTACTGGACTGGGCTGGATAGGAAAGCTTAGCTTAGGAGTGCCCAAACTCCTCCTTATTGCCAAAACCTCAGTCTGGAGCTTGTGGCCGGAACTCACCACCTGCGGTCTCCGTGGTGGTGTCCACGTGGCAGTACAGGACCCTCCACCCCCAAGGAGCACAGCCGTGACTGGCCCCCAGGCCGGCACGCCGCTCAGGGCAGCTACGGGTGACCTGACCGAAGCCTGAAGGCAGGCCGCCTCTGAGTGGAGTCTCCATGGGAGTTCTGGCCGCCTGGTTAGGTAGTGTCCCCTTTGTTGTCACCGACACCGTCCCCCTCAGGTGGTCCGGCACTGATCTCTGGAATCCCAAGGATGGCCCCACAGAAGGATGTCAGGCGGCGGGGACCCTGTGGCTGGGGAGACGGACCCATCCGGTCACCACCGGCACCAGCAGGAGACGGGACTTCCCACTCCACCGAGATGTTGCCATCTCCTCCCTCCCACTCGGGCAGCAGTTTCAGGCTCCGTTTCGTTTCACTGTTTTCTGCAAATAAACGTCAACTGCGCTGTTGACGAGAAACCACTGACTCAGCCACGTCGTCTGAGGGCCCAAGCCCCACGGAGTCCCGCCGTCAGGCTCCGAGGAGCCCACCCCACCGCCCGACAGGAGCTGTTGAGCCCTGGGTTCTCTGGGCACACGCCAGCCCGTCCAGAGACCCAGCAGGACTGGCCCCGGGCTGAGGGCCTGGCAGGCACGGCGCATGTCCTGGCCACGCCTGCAGGCAGCTTCCTCCAGCAGGGACGCGCAGCCCGAGGCCGCCTGCGGGGCGTTTCGCTCCCGACAGTGGACACTCCAGACAGTGGACACTCCAACAGTGGGACAGCCTGTCCCTTCACGAGCGAGGGTCCAGTGTTTCCTGTCAACTCTTGTATTGGACTGTGTATTACTAGTTAATTCCGTTAAAAACAAAAACAACCAGGAGCACTACAGTGGAAAGTACTGAGGCTCTGACAGAGACCACACCAGAGTCCGGTCTCATGTATTTCCAGAAGTCTTGTTTCGTGACCGTGGAAAATCAGTCCTAACCGTGGGCTCCATCTCAGTGCATCGAAACGCCGAGAGCTTCTCGGTCTGAAATCGAGGGACATGACTCTTCGTGGTTATTGAAAGGAGTTTTCTGCTAAAATGGTATCATTTGAAATCCTAAAACCTTCATGTTAAGATATCGACCGATAAGCTTGTGCCAGAGATTTCCCAGTGGAATAGTTATTTATAAAAAGAAGACGACTCACGGCCCTCACACCGCCGGCGAGCAGGCACATGGGTGCCGTCACAGGAACGCCCTGGACTCCGAGGCCCCAACTGTTGGGTCTGTTTGGATCCGTTTCCCCGTGGAAGAGAAAGCTGCCCGCCGTCAGGCTGTGTGGAAGGCTGCTCTCCGTTCTTCCGGTAGTTTTGTGATTTTGTTTTTGTAGCGTTTCATTTCTATGCAGAATTCAGAGCTGCAGCCCGACCCCACTCATGACACGCAGCATCACACGTGGTCTGAGGGGACAGCGACCTCTCACAGAGCCGCCAAAATCACGGGAACGACACAACTTTGCCTTAAAGAGTCCCAGATGGGAGTTCGACCCGCCGCGGGAGGAAGGCTCAGCGTGCTCCCCAAAGGCTGATGTGAGCTGGGAGCCAAACGCCTGCATCTTTTCAAACAGGTATTTTAAATAAAGCCTATTTAAACACGCCCACTGTCAAAAACTATCTCCTAGCAGAAAGCAGCGATCCTCTTGAAGCTTGCCTCACCCGCCCAGGGTGACTTGGGGGAGGGTGGCCGGCTCCTCGCCACGGCCTCAGTGGGCAGTGTTTGTTCTGCCAAGGCCGTCAGGGTCAGGAGCCCCTGAGATGCGATGTGAGCTCCTTACACGGTACAGAGAAAAGCAGCCGTCGACACCGAGACCTCCTCTCTGGGCACCCCCCAGGCTTCCGCACTCCCTGACAGCGTTCTCTCCACACCCCCGCGCCGCCCGAGCCTTCCCGGTACCTGAGCCTGCTGGACACAGAGCCCTCGGGCCTCTGACCACCTTGTCGCCACCACCGGAAAGCTGCAGCACGTGTGCACCTTGCCCGTGCTACCTTTTCACCGCTCTAGGAATGGAGAGGGCGGGGTGTACAGACCACACGGACCACAGTGGACACCAACGTCGGGTCACACAACTCCAGCCTCTTTGGTTGTTTAAGCCACAAGCTCGGTTTCCTACCATGTCTGTAAAGTTCATGTCATGCTAACCCAGAAAGCAGGGCCATGATGAAAACGTTGACCCCGGGTGTCTGAGGAGCACCCTCGGACGCGGGCGCCAGCTCTGGGGACAGACAGCCGAGCTTGTTCTTGACGCCTCGCGATTCGGTATTAAAACCAGCATCACCTGCAGTCTCCGACAGCAGGAGTCGGCTTGTTAATACAGTAGCTAGTACATTCAGTATTTTACTTCAGTATTTAGAACCCTAGGTCTTTTACGGCAAGAAGCCGACAGTTAGTTTACACTACAGACTTAACCAGGCCCGGTGGCCCCCACTGCACCAGCACTGGTGAGCCGGCCAAGGGTGTGGGCAGCCCCTTCCTCCTCACTCCCTCTGGGTCCTTTTGTATACTGGTGGCATTTGCACACTGAAGGGTCAGGACTGTCAGGGAGATGTCTCCCCTTGCTGCTGCCCACCTGCCCAGCCCATGGGTCAGGTCCAGAGTGGCCGGCTGGTCTCCAACTCGAGGGAGGGATGCTGGCAGCCACGGGCTGAGCAGTCCTGGGGGGTCTGAACAAAGGTGAGCAGCTCTTGCCAACACTCCCAGCTTTGTAGAACAAGACCTCCTGTGGGTTGAGGCCAAAGGTCAATGTCAGTACACTACTCATCGAGGGGGGGGAGGGGTGCTGGGCCACACCAAGGGCACCAGTGTCCAGACAGCTTCCTGTGCATGGTGACCAGCCCCGCAGTGGACAGACGAGGTGTGAGGCTTCTCGGGCAGACAAGCCTGCGGGACGGAGCGTCTGCAAAGCCCGTGTGCTCAAGGGTCACTCCAGCTCCTGTGGGGAGGGGGGGGTGGTGGGGGGGCAGCATTTTCTTTTTAGGAATGAAGGAAAATCTTCTCATTTTTGAGCCATTCTTTTATGTCAATTCTACAAAATTGCATGTAACTTTATAAATATTTTTAAAAGATATAGTTTTGTAAATATTTAATATTACGCTAATTTGATTTTGAATTGTAAATGTCAAGTACTCTGTTTTTGGGGATTTTTATGTTTTATTATACTTTGTTAAAAAGGAAAAAAATTGTACATTTTTAGAATGTTTTTATGAGTAAATTTAATGTACTGAAATAAAAAATTTTTAAAAGGCTTACTGCTTTGTTTTATAAGGTCTTGTGTCTCAGAGCACCACACCCCCACCCCCAGCTGCAAGCCCACCCGTTGTCACCGGTGGAGTCCTCCTCCTGCCCGTGCTCAGACCACGGACCAGAGGCGAGCTGCCTGCGGAGGAGGCCTGGTGGTGCGACCTGGCCGAGGTCTAACCTAGAGAGCTGCTGGTGGCTGTACAGGCTAACCAGGAGCGCCACCCTCTCGCCTTTCTGCATCTGGGGGTAGGTGACGGTCCCAGGCTGGAGTCATGCGAGCCGAGTGTCAGGATCCAGAGGCAGGATTCCGTCACCTTCCACCCCCGGCGGCCCCCTCTGGGTCTCGGCATTAGGACCAGAGTACACACGTGTGCAAGCTCAGCTCCAGCCACTCGCTGAGTGGCCTTGTCTGAGCTCAGGAGCCCGGTCAGCAGGAGCCCATGACTGAGCAAGTGACCCCTGGAGAGCCCTGCAACCCAGCACTAGAAAGCAGCCCCGAGCGCAGTGGGCTCAGGTTTGCTGCTGGGCAGCAGTAAACCTACAGGGGCAGCAGCCAGCCCTCCTGTGCAGCACTGGTGAGGGTCTTCACCCTGGGTCCCTGTCCACCCTCTGATGCTCCTGGCCAGGTCGGCCACATTCCTAGACAAGTGTGGTCCAGGTGTACCCTGTGCACCCGAGGGCTCAGCTGGCAAGCACAGGGCGAGCACACCTGCATGCACCCTGGCACAAGATCGAGCCCAAGGTGGTGAGCGCCACGGAGGACCGGGATGCCGCAAGGAGCAAAGCCTCGGACACGGAGCCCGTCCCACCGAGAGCGTTTTCCCTGTAGTGCCTTCATTCATCCCGGTCTGTTGAAACGTGCAGATCCTGGAACCAGTGACACGCCGGGCTCTGCATTCTCCTTCTCCGCGACCTTCCCCCACAACCCCCTTGGAAGTGTCGCACGGTAATTAAGTTACAAGGTCAGGCCTACGCCGTATACAATCTGAACAAGATAGGCTGCTAGGAATTTACACAAAACACGGCAAAGACACACTGGAAGTGGCCGTGGCAGCCAGGTGCATGCAGGGGCTGAGGTCGGGGGAGCGTGTCCTCCAATGGAGGGAGGGTGACCAACAGACGGGGATCGCATACACACCGGGACACATGGCTAACCTCTCTCTGACGGACCGGCCCTGTACTCGTGAGGAGCAAGGCATCGAGCTGTTTGTCCCAGGCTGCTCTTCAAGGACATGCACTCCCGTCTCCTACATTTTCCTCAAAAGGACATGTACTTGCGCTTTGAAACACAATGCATCTCGGTCACCAGACACAACGTGGACTGAGACTTGGGGGGGGCACGTGGATTTCAATGCTGTTGTGTCATGAGGGGTGGAAGGGACAGCTCTTCCCTTAACAAACCAAGCACTGTTGGCCTTCTCGGACTGGGGGTGGGGGCACCCTTCCTCTGGGGCTGGAGCAAAATCGAGCTACTCCGCACTATAAGCTGTGGCTTCCTACAGGCAACGGTCCAGAGAACAACTCGGAAGCAGCTTGTGTTTATGAGACTTCCCAAGGTTGCAGCAACTACAAGAGCAAGTGTTTGGGGATGTTAGGTGTGACCCTCTTGGAAGTTTCCTAGTGGGGCACAAAGCCAGCCACCTCTCAGGTGGGCAGGCGCTGGGTTACTGCTTGGCTTGCACCTTCCCAGGGATGGGCAGGCAGAAAAGAGTGTTAGGGTAACTCCAATGTCTATTTTATTGGCAACTTAAAATGCAAAGCACTTTATTTGTAAACCTAACATCTGGGTTAAATAACAATAGTTTGCTGAAGCTGGGGCGCGCACTGCGCAGGGAAACACGGACAAGCCCCGTGGGCGGGCGCTGCAGCGGTGAGGGCCTGTGCTAGAGGCGCTGACCCATCGACCCCGCGCTAACATCCCTTTTCTTCCCCGCCCCTTAGTAAGGGGTGACAATTCTGGACATGGTTTGGCCGGTCTTAGGCGGCCGGCTTCATGCCAAACGTCTCCTGGGAGGCGTAGACCATGTACAGGAAGCCGTCCTCATCCCGCTCACTCTCATACACCTCGGAAATGGGCGTGGACACGCTCACCATGCTGTGGCCGCTGACCAGCAGGAAGAAGGCCTGGTTGGCGTTCAGCTGCAGGCGCCTTCTGTGGGGAGCAGAGACAGCAATGCGTCAGGACGGTCCACACAGCTCTGGGGGAGGGTCTGATGCTACCTGCTTGCTCTGTGCACGTCCCCCACTGGCCGGGGGACGACTGCACACCGGGCCAACAACCTAACTCTTTGGTTCACTGCCTCTTCCCCTCCCCCACCCCAAGACAGATTGTTCAGGGAGGAACACAAACACGGACGACCACCCTGGGTCAGGACCTGACGTCGGTCAGTAGCCTTTGCAAGACTCGTCTAAGCGCAGTGCGACAGAATAAAGCCTGTCTGTCTTCTATTCACAGCTCACAGGGAAGCTGTAAAGCCCTGTAGCTGCTGCCTCTCGCAGACGTCGACCACAGCTCAGTGACACCGGTGTCCTGCTCAGAGGACACAGGTGACCATCGCTGGTGAAGTTCAGCTTCCAGCACTGCCAGGCGACACCCAGGACAGTGTTCAGCCAGCTTTAAATTCATGCACTCTCTGAAGAGCAGTGGTGTCCACTGGGAGACACCATTCTGCTGAGTGCAGAAAGGACACGGAGACGTGGGGAGCGTGCACTCTTGCACTACTACGCACAAGGGACGCAGGTCCCACAGAAATGATTAGGAGGAGCCTTTAAAAAAGTTCATGGAAAAACCCTACTACAGAAATGCGTCGGTTTCGGTATTTTTTTACTTGCACCAAAACAAGCTCCTGCTGCCTGTGTCCGCAGGGTCTGCTGAGGCACCACCAAAGAAAGAGCCGCTCAGAGGGATGTGCTGGGGCAGGACCAAGCACCACAGACAGACGGGAAGACGCCCTAGAGCAGTGAGCGGTTCTCAACCTTCGCAGTGCCGCCACCCTCAATGTGGTCCTGTGGTGCTGACCCCAACCACAAAATCATCTTCGTTGCTACTTCATCACTGTCATTTTACTGCTGTTATGAATCGTCATGTAAATATCTGATAGGCAGGATGTATTTCTATTGTTATAAACAACATACCGTATACTCGAGCATAAGCCAAGTTTTTCAGCACATTTGTGGTAAAATTAGGTGCCTCTGCAGATATTCGGGTCAGCTTAATACTCAAGTATATGCAGTAATTAAAGCATAGTGAATAATCACAAAAACATTAGGTAATTATGATTCACGAAGTCATTTTACCTCCAATACTGCTGCTTTCAACGCAGCAGCTGCTCTCTACACGTGAGCCTGGTCCTCACAGTACATTATGGCGCCAACCTTGTCACACACACCTGCACTTGCATGGGTGTGTGTGATGGGGTTGGGGCGATGTCATCATCACACCGGGCACTCGGACCTGCCTGGAGACGGTGTCTCGGTTCCCAAGACCACAGGTTGAGAACCGCTGCCCTAAAGAAACCAGTAGCTCACAAATGAATGAACTCATTTGCAGCATGAGGTGATGTTGAAGATTGAAGCCTAAGGCCACATCCTCTGCTCACCGCTACGTGAGGAGGAAGTGCGATTCGCAGAGGCCACAGCCAACACCGGAAGCATCTCCCCAGTCCCGCTCACAGAGCTCTGACTGAAGTCAGAGTGGAGCCAACGGCGATGCCCAGAGGGCTGCAGACAAGTGCAGGCCTTCCTGTGACAATGTCACACACGTGGGGCCAAGACTGCGAAGGGCTTGTTGGAAGCATTTGTACCAAGAGGCGACACACGGCCTCTCCACCCGTGTCCTGAAGACAAAGCGGGATCAAAGCACGACCAGCACGACTAGCACAGAGAGCCCGTGGGCGCAAGAGCTTTTGCAGTGCTGGAGCCACCGTGCCTGCCGCCGACTGACCTGCTGGAGGGCTGAGAGAAGCCCCAACAAGCCCGAGCGACACCTGCTCACTTTAAGGGCTTTGAGAAAGCTAACCAAGCTCTGCCAAGAAACACCCAGGAGAGCGTCACCAGTCCTCCTCTCCCCCAAGTGCTCCTGCCCGCTCCTCTCGCCAGCCCAGGGCAGGACGGGGAGCCCTCTGATGGGAAACCACTAGGCACGCATCAACCTCACCATTCAAACTTGGCTCCTTCCTTTGTCACGTGATCTTAGAAGGGCACCTGTTTTTCTTCACTCACTGTACAAAGACTGCACTGGCCTTGTTAAATCCCCAGGACCATCCACTCTGAGGGTGGACCCAATCGTTGCTACCAACACTTAGAAGGATGCCTTGGCCTCCATGCAGCTAGTGCTGGGTGAGAAATGAAATCCTGTCTTTCTTTTAGTCCTATTATTTTTCCACGATTCTTTTTGAAGTGTGCGCATCATACACCCTAGAGAATTTGGAATCCTCTAGTTTTATTGAACTTGATAGATCTTAACCAGAGCCTCACTTCAGAATGCATCTGCAGGTCTGACAGTGAGTGAGAGGTTCCCCCCGGAAGGAGGAGATGAAATACCGTATGATTTTGATGAGCTCGCTCATGTTGACGTGATCGGGGACGAGGAACTTGGTTTTATCCAGCACAGGAAGCTGTTTCTCGCCCTTGTATCTCTCTATTATCACCTGGAGAAAGAGACCACACGTGGTAACCCTGTGGTTGATTTTGAACTCACTGATAAAAGCAGTGCATTCACCCAATTCCCAGTGCTAAACTGTACCCTCCATGAACAGTGACGGTGCCTGCGCCTGAGGCGTGGCCACACACACGTTTCCACACGGCCTCCTGGGGGGTGCTCGTCACGGCTGAGCAGCTTGTTTCCAGATGCAGCACGGCCTGCCCCGCAGAAGCAGCGCCGACACAGAGGGAAGGCGGTCAGCTTCAAGCAGACTTGCTTCCTTAAAGGGTCAAGGAGGCAGTCCATTGATGGGCAGAAGACGGTGAGCTGCGTCCCTGACCATGCTCAGAGAACCCAGAGGGCAAGGACCAGCTGTCAGCACTCCAGTCAGGTGGAAGGGACGGAGGAGGCTGGCCAGAGACGGCTCCTCAAAAACTCCAGAACACCGTGCATCCAGTCTCTCCATCAGAGCCAGAGACCGCCAGACAGCCAGCAGGGCAGCACCCTGGGCTCCAGTGGTATGAAATCACATGTCACATCAGCTAGCTCTAGGTCATCCCTGGCGCCCAGAATTATGCAAATCTTCAGAATGCCCTGTAGGCGGGACTCTCTCCCCCACATCTCAGAGGAGGAAGCTGCGGTTCTTGGCAGAATCTCAGAAAGTGGCCCCAGCCCAAGGTCATCTAATGATCTTCAACCAGGACTTGACTTCAGGGATCTGAAAGCGAAGGCAGGTTCTACAGGCCCAGTGGTCTCTAGGTCTGATGGCTGGGGGAGCCCTGAGCTAGGTCAGCAACACACCGGCTGGCACCCCTATAAGAGACAAGGAGAGCAGAGTGCCCATCTACTTTCCCAAAAATCCAACCCCAAGGGAGTTCTTTGGGGCACCTACCCCATTAAGAGTCAGGAGGTCAGGACCCACAGTGCTCCCTGCTTTCTGAACCAATTCCTCCCATGACCACAGTCCCAGCTTGGACAGTCTGCCCTAGCCCCACCCCTTCCTCAGGGGGCCACCGGGTTTGTGAAGTGCTGTCGTGCATGTCTGTGCCCTTTAAAGTTAGTGGAATGTGTGTGGTCCTTTGGAGCCCATGGAAGAAGCTACCTACCGGGATTTTAGTAGGATGTTGTTCTCGGATAAGCCGGACATCTTCCACTCTTTGTTCTGCAATGACAGGGCAAGAGAGGCATTAGGAGAGGGCAGCTCTTTCCTGCGTTCCCACCACAGGTCGAAACCTGGAGGCACACATCCGGAACTCAGGGTCAGTCAGCACCGATGTTTCAGATCCCACTGATGTTAGTGCCTAAGGCCAAGGAAGAGGTTAGGGGAACCAAGACCTGCTTCCACGGCTCTCGCTGATGGTCAGGAAGACTTAGCTCAGGGTCTGGGCCGACACTGGACTACTGGTCACAAGACATGCTCAGTGAAAGAACTGTGTGGAGTGACCACCCAATCAGTCCTGTCTGTCCGTGTTTGAAGCTGGTGTAGGAATTCACTGTAAAACATGGTGGTTCAGCTCTCTGAATGACCGAGTACTGTAGGAAAGAAACTGCCTAGAAGACAAAGAACCATGGAAGGAAAGGGCATTCCGTTTGAGTTTCACCTCGTGCTCTACAGCCGAGTCCTTGTCTGAAAATCTCCCAAGCCTTCCTCTTAATATAACTGAGATACTTTATTGTGCCACCTGGCCGATAAACACAAGTGGGATTGACTGAGGGGCGGCGAGATAAATGGCTCCGTGAGCCTCGCCTTTCTTGTCTCCCGCTCTTTGATCATCGGAGCAGTGTGCGGCTGCCTTGCTTGTCCTGTGCCTCAATTTACAGGCTACACTACCTGTGGGACGCCTAGCCTGTGGACTGTGTCGCTGTAAGTTGAGGTCCCTTTAAGAGATCGCTGGAGCTGAGGACTGGCAGTTAGTGACCTGCCTTCTGATTGGCTGCTGTGCTGACATAGCCTAGCTCTCTCTTTATATAGAGGAAAAACCTGGCAGCAGACTAGATTTGAAGGACTGCTAGTGTCTCACATCTCTCTGTCAGGGGAGTGAGTTGCACTGAGCCATTTGTACTGCTTTATAATATAACTGTTCATTTCTTGTATTATATATTTATCTGTATATGATTTAACAGTTCATTTCTTGTTATATCTAATTATCTTTATAAATAAATATATTAAAGTATCAGCAATTTGGTTTTATCTCTCTAGAGAACCCTGTCTAACACAATAATCAACAATTTATATTGTGCACAATGGCACTAGACTCTATGGGGAATATAAAACGCAGGGGTGGGGTGGGGGGAGGAGCGTGGTAATGAAGCCAAGCCCAGTTCTCAGTAAACTGACAATACTGTCGGAGATGTGTCGGCTGGGGCTAGACCTGTGACTTAAGACAGCTTGCTTGCTTGCTTTTTTTAAAGACAGTTTTCTTGTCTAGAACTTTGCATCAGAATCCTTGATTTACTATGGTTTAAATGAGAAGAGGTTTGCATCAAGGTTGCAACTTTTCCCTGTACTGAGCTAATAATTTTGACATGAACTGTGCGAACCCAACATCAAGATTAACAACCTGAAACAGATGAGAAAGCTGCTTGCCGAAGATGACAGGCTCAAAGCACGTGCTGACGAAGGTCAGACTCAGCCTCCGAGCGGCTTCATCAACACACAGGAGACCCAGAGCCCTAAGGACACCGCAAACTGCAGAAAACCAGTAGCCAGAGCTCCTCTACTTGGGGCCACAGTAAGTAATGAACACCCGTGGAAGCAACAACCGGGAAAACCCAACAAAGCAATGCCCTGGGCAGTCCACTGCAGAAAACCCGGAGCTGTCCTCGGCCCAGCCGTGGCCTCTCAGCATGTCACAGGCACGCCCCAGCAGGGCGCTGCCTAAAGCAATCAACCGCTTGAATTACATACGGTGGTGAAGAATCATGAAAATACCATGGCCTGTCCGAAGGACGAACACGCTTGGGAAAGACAAGCAAAACGCTCCTTAGAAATGAGGATGGCTGTTCTGAAGCTGACTGTGGTAGCAATTGTACAAAACTGCTCGGTGTGACTGAACTGTGGAATGTGCTATCTGCAAGATAAAATGATTAGAAAAACAGAAGAAACGAGGACAGCAGTGACTTTGTCTCATGTCTTTGGTTGTTTTATTAGGAAGACCAGTGCCCCAGAGAGGGACAGCCAGGTTAGTAGTGAGGCAGACTCAACGAGCCACTGTGAGGCCACCTTGTTGAGTGCTGAGTGACCTGCCTCCTCCCCCCACCTCGTACAGCCCTACCAGTGACTGGTCTTAGAGCGTGCTCTCATGGGCTGGACAGCAGAACATTCTAATGAATAATCATGTTCCTTTTGATCTTGTAACCAGGGTATTACTAATTTTATTAGCCAGGTTGTTATCATCAGTGCTGTACCCGGTCATGCGCACTAACTCTAGAACAATGGTTCTCAAGCAGTGGGTCAAGACCCCTTGTGGGGGGGGGGGCAATGTTTTCAAAGGACCCTTTCACAGGGGTCGCCTGATTCATAACAGTAGCAAAATTACAGTTATAAAGTAGCAACGAAAACGATGTTATGGTTGGGGGTCACCACCACACGAGGAGCTGTCTGAAAGGGCCATGGCATTAGGACAGTGGAGAACCGCGGCTCTAGAGGATCGTGACATGAATTTTGCTTCCTGGTTCCACCCACACTTGCTGAAGTCTTAGACAAATGATAGATGAGTTCTTTTGCCTTTAAAGATGGACTGAAGTGTCTACTCGATGGCAATCAAATAATCGCTTTTAGATTCTAACAGTCCAGTTATAACAGAATAAAGACTCTTCTAAATCATCAAAACCCTATAGTGGCTGTCATTTATTTCAAGCGGCAACAGTAGCATGCTTTCAGTTAGCAGCGGAGTGCTGTAACCATGGTGCCACCAGGGCTCCTACAGTCTGGAGGAGATGGTTAATGAACGAGTCTCCAAAAAACAAATTCATTGCCACTGAGTCAACACTGACTCATAGCAACCCTTCAGGTTGGGAGCAGTCTCATCTTTCTCCCTCAGTGCAGAGGGTGGGTTTGAACTGTTGGCCTTGCATTCAGTAGTCCACTCTGCCACCAGTGAATGCTGAACGGTGGGACGAACAGTGCTCTAAGTGACTGTCAAGACATGCTCCCCAGACGCCTCTCCCTGGCCTTGGTGAAGGCGATGAGCCTCACAGACAAACGGAGGGCGGGCGTCTCAGAGTTCCGCCTAACCAACATGGCACTTGCAGAGTTACTCTGGGATGACACAGGCCTTCAACATCATCAGAGGTACACACATTTCCCTGAGTGCAGCCCACCCAATGAAAGGCATGGCTCCTAAGGGCTCCCCCCACTGTCTGCCAGAATAACCATCTATCCCGAGTGGCAGCTTACTTAAGGAGCACCACCTAGATCATCATGTGGCCTGCCTGTCCCTCCCTCCCTCCCCATGGGAGGGGCAGGCCAGGGAGAAAAGACAAAGCCAAGGGCTAGCCTACTGATAAGGATGTTAACTTGAGTGAATAGCAGTCCAGGGGAGAAACCAAGGACAGAGGAAGGGCCAACTCTTGGGAGCACTGCTGAGTGGTTCAGACTGAATACAGGGTTGAACTGGAATGTAGACCCCACCTAACTAAAAGCAACAACAACACAACTCTCCCTGTGACAATTTAAATCAACACAGATAACTTCCCCAGTCATGCAAACACTTGCTTATTAAGGAAGAAGTTCAAGGCCTGTAAGTTCCTGATCCTCCAAAATTCCAATAAGACAGTTGCTGGGAAATTTTAGGTTTTTCTGAAGAAACCTCTTCAGTTGTGAACAATCTGGGGCATCCCAGCAGAGGGCGGACACTGAGAAAACTCGGTCGGTTATCTGTACACAGATAATTCTTAAAGGTTCCAAGAGATTCCAAAGCCATTTGCACGCATACACTACCTCCTCTTGACTTCTGCCCTTGGTCCACTTGATACAGCTAGAAAAGATGCCATTTTACTCCCCACTGGCTCTCACTGAGGGTAAAGGTAACAGTCTAGACTCTGCCACTAGGTGGGGACCATGACCTTCACCTGGCGCCTCCACCGTTTCTACAGCTCCAAAAGGAAGGGTTGTTTGGGGTTAAGCTCTAACATCCATTTCAACCATACGGAGCCTTTCAATCCACAGGTGTATATTCAGTTCTTCATTAAACTTACTTGGATAGCAATAATACCCTTCAAGCTCACGGAGGCTGGTGGTGTTGGCCTGTTGTCAAGGGTTCAAGAACTGACTTGCCCCATGTGCTGGGATCTGAGTCTCTCCAAACTGTGTCAGAGATGATAGTTGCAGATTTGGTAATGAGCAAGGAAAGACACAAGCCATCAACTGTTGTTCGATCATTTTCTACCAGATAACACGAGGTCTACGAAAAGGAAGGCGAGAGGGGAAGGGGAAGAGTCCTGCAAACACTGGGAGGGGGCGTGGAAAGCCGTTCCAGACACATCACCTCCAGGACAACTTCTGGGTTCCAAGTCAATTACGTGCCTTATCTATGCCACCCTTGCTCCATCTCCTTTTCCTTAGAGGTTTCTTCAGAAAAGCCTAAAACTACCCTAAGCAAATGGAAGATGTCACTTCCATACAGATGAAAAGAGCATCTTTCCTAGACTAATACCAGAGTCAAAAACCAATCATGCAGAGGCGTGAAACAGCACTCCTGTGTCCGATTCAGCCACCACCCTCAGTATCCCACTCACTCTAAATAAGATCTCAGCAGCAGGGCCCAGGGCAGCTTCCTACTGAGGAGTTCTCAAGGCCACGTTCTGGCTACAATCCGGGAAGGATTTTATTACCAGTGGTTCAGGCTGCTGACAGGAAGCTAAGAAAGAGATATACTGACACTGGGGAACCTACCAGCTACCTGCTGGGATTTCGGCTACAGAGTCAGGCAGCCCTAAGTTACATCCATCAGCAAGCCCTCGGAGCCCAATGGTTCAGTGCCAGGCTACTAACCCAAAGATCAGCGGTTCAAACTTACCAGCCACTCTGCAGGAGACAGCTGTGGTAGTCTGCTTCTATTACGATCTCAGTGCTGAAAACCCCATGGGGCAGATCCCCTCTGCCCTACAGGGTCTCTATGAGTAAGGAGCCAGCCAGCCATGGAGTGTCTTGTTTTTAAAGTCACAACCAAGGAGCCTGGTTGAGGAAAAGGCAGGCGGAGGAGGAGGAGACGGAAGCCAGATTCAAGAGCAAGTCTACATCCAAGGCTGCTCTCAGAAGACTCCAAAGAGCCCCCTGAAGGTCTCCAAAGGGAGAAACCCCTCACAAGAAAGCCAACAAGCCTCAAGAGATATGAGTGGCGTGCCAAAATACTCGACTCCAGGCACAAGATAGCCAACAATGATCGACAAGAACAACACCCACAAACCACGTCCAAGCCATGCCAGGCGCTGTCCGGCCTCCAGCCACAAAGGTAAGGATAAACACGGAATCACTGGAAATCCAAGAGCGGCCCTCTGGACGCCACGTTCTTCCTCATGGGGCCTGCAACTCCTGGAGCTGCTGCTGCAAGGAGACCTACGGAAGGAACAGATGTCCAGGGACGGACACAATGGCTGTGACATGTCCTCATGGGCACAGGGGGCTGCAGGCGCCAAGCGCTGGGGGGCGGTCGGCCTTACTTTCGTCTTCATCCAAAATGCAGGTGAGCAAGTGTTGCATGACCTAAAAGGTAAGGGGGCGGACGGACAGGGGCATCCAGATCCCCCAGGGGCGACCAGCGAGGACGGCCCTCCGGGCAGGGGCCAGCAAACCGCGAGGCGGGCGGCGGGGAGCTGCCCGCCGGG